TTCTATGGCTTCTTGAGTATGTGAATGTTTCTTCCTTTTGCTAGTTCTATGAGTTCTGTGACAAAATTTGATATTTCTTGAGTTCTGTGACAAAATTAATTCGTTTATTCATTTTGCTAGTTGAAAAGGGATATTATTATTTTTTTTGGACCTTATATTTATTTTAGTGGACTTGTATTGTATTTTTATCGTAAAGTATTATTCTAAAACGTCAAAAGGGCGAATAAAAAACTATACTTTAGTTTTTTGTGATTTTACTTTTATTTTGTTGATATTTAAATTTATAGTAAATATATTTAGTTTGTTTTAGATTTATTTCTAGTAAGATATAAATATATATTGAATTAATGGCATAAAAGTAGATACTAGACAGGAAAAAAATATACGCGAAACCAGCGGTTTAAAACCGGACCAAACCGTTAGGTTTAGGTTTGAATTTTTTTCAAACCGGTCAAAACGGTTTGGTTTAGCTTTGAGCTTTTCTCAAACCGGTCAAAACGGTTTGATTTGAAAAATTGTCAAAAATCGGACCGCTTACACCCCTACCACAAATCAGGTAAGAAAATTAATCGGACCTGAGTGGCAAGCCGAGCATTCTTTTAGCCTTCAAAATAGTCTCATTATCTATGTTTATGGCACTTGTTGATGGTTTGTTTGGCCAAGACACTTTTCTGCCCCCAAGTTGAAAGAGAAAAATAACTACTTGAAAAAAATTTCATTGTATTAAATTTCCAAAGCAGGACAGTAGGAAGCTCACAGCAATATTCCAACAGAAAAATGGGATACACAACCTCAAATCAAGGCTACAAAAACAAACCCCTTTATGATATTACATGCTCTTATTGTCCCTCAAAAAAAAAAAAGAATTTACAGACTTTATTTAAGCAAAATATAAATAAATATGTCTCGTCCTTGCCTTGCATTGCTAGGACCGACAAAATACAATACACAAGATTTTAACTTTTTCTTTTCTAATATTGTTCAGCAGAGTACATTCCACTCTCAACAGATCTTGTTCTTCCAAGCCGAACGGAGTTTACATAGTCTACAGGGCTGTGAGCAGAAAGACCAGGAATTGCTAATCCTATGATCCTCAGCAGAATAGATTCCCAAGATTCCTTGTACTCTGGCCCGTACAAGTAACCGATGATGAAACTCCTAAATAGCTCCCATATGGCATTGAGATAATCCGGTATCAGGTATCGCCATGCAAAGTAATTTTTGTTTGGTTCTTCATCGACCTTCTACAGAAAAGAACAATGAAAAGAAGTTAACAAAGCTGTAAAATGGATTAGCAGAAATAGCTCTTAGATTAGATGAAATGTATAGTGGATAATATTAAAGAACAAAAAGAAGCTAAATCTTGCTCATTGCACTATCTAGTGCTGAGGAGTGATGTTAAACATGTCCTAAGGAATGGAAATGCACATAATTTTGTGTTACAATTCATTTTGCATATCAAGATACATAAAAATAAAACGAAGTGGTTTAGACGGGTTAATAATGACAGTAGTTATGTGAAGTCATGGAAATGACAACAATGATTCATCCCAGCACCAAATACTAAGGAAATCCGTGAGGAATAGAGGGCGGAAAAGGCTTACTTGTTCAATATAGAGGCTGTTGTAGTAGAGGCATATCCCGAAATGTTTATACAAGAACGTCTTATTGTCATAAGGCAACCTTGGAACCATATCATTGCAGTATACAACTCTGAAGTACTTGGGAACGGGATGTTCCAAATGAGCTTCCATGAACCTTCCTATCTGTTCGTTACCAATCCGTGGCTGTCCATACGTGTATACACCAAACAAACGTCCCATGACTTCCAATTCCTCGTGCAGTACCAGCACTGTAGGGAACAATATGGCCAGAGCCCCACCCAAACTGTGCCCAGTAACCACAAACCTTGCGTTCTTGTGCTCTTCAAGCAAGCTTTTGAGTTTACTTCTTACAGCATAGTATGCAGTCCTCTCTCCCATTGCCGGTACGAGGTTATCGTCGGCGCCCCTCGACTGCTCTGAGTTGGAAGATTTATCGAGTGCATGCCGTGCATTAGAATTATTAGACGAAATGTTTTCTCCTTGAAGTTGTTCCGAGAATGCCGAGGTATTCATTCTGTTGCCCAGACCTAAAGCCTCTAAGAACCCCATATGTACTTTTCCGAGTTTTGGAATCTCATACCACGAGTAGTCAAAATCAGTGCTCCAATCATCAGCATCGAAGGGCTCTGTCCCCCGGAAGCTGATTAATATCAAATCAGCATCTTTTGGCTTATTACACAGTATGAAAACTTGGGTCGACATCTCTTTTTGATAATCTGCAACCAAAAGGCATAATCCAACAAAATCACAATAACAAAAGGCAGATGAGACACGGGATTGATTTGTAATTCTAAAACTTTTAAGTTAGTCTCAATGAAATATTGACATTTGACGTCGAATTCTTACCATTCCAGCAGTTGTAAAAGTCGATAAAGTGCATCTGCTTTCAAAAAATGTAAATTACAATGATTTATTTTACCCGTAATCTACAATCAATCACTGATGGAAAGAGGAGCAATTACACGAACCGTACCTTCCAGTGAAGATTTACTACATTTCTAACAACATTTGCATTCTCGTATGCTAATTTTGAAGCAATGATACATAGGTCCATAAGAACCCGGCTTCCAGCTCCAAATTGCAAAATTTTCTTCCAAAACTCGGGTTCAATGGTCTTGTTAAGCATCATCTCGCTTTTGAATAGGTCTATACGCCCGTCTAAATGCCCAATTGCACTAATAAATGTTTCGGAATCTCTTTGTGGAATCACAACATTTCCTGTTTAGCCAGATTATTGTTTTATGTATCTTATGTTCACATAACTGTGGGATTTTAAAATCCCTGCACATTGAAAACCTTACTTGGGAAAACATGAACCAAGATAATAGAGAAATTTCTATTGACAAATTCAGAAACCAAATTACAACAACATTTCTCTGTGCCTCATCTGAGGGGAAATGGATAAGTTAATTTAATATCAAGAATGTAGTTTTGGCAGAATTTCTGTACTCTGGAAAGAATTAAGGAAAGCCAAGCTCAACATTCATTTTGAAGTGAAGGGATGTGTAAACAATTTTACAATTTCTTTTTAAGGTACAAACAACTTCAAATGAAATGAGTGACTAGTTCAAATCAAAACTAAATACCCTGAATAGCAAACCTTTCAAACATCACATAACTTCTAAACCATCACTTAAATTGATGATTCAAGACATGCACAATTTTCATAAGCAATTGATGACGGAATTTGAACCCCAAAACCACTTAGTCTATAAGCTTAAACTGCTATCAAGGTAGCTCATGCAAATGCAATCATATAACATTTTATTACAAGAAAAAAGAGAGATAAATATAAGATCATACCATGGAAAAAATTGTAGAGTAATCCCAGAAAATTCCCATTGAGAGAGAAGAGGTTTAGCATGAACTCCACAATATAACCAATCCACTCCATAAGTTTACCAAAAAATGCAAGTATTTTCCTCACAATAATAGATACAATTATCACCCATCTATGATCTGGCGTATCATCACTCAATAACTGATCTTGAATCACTCCATCGTGTGAGCTTTCAAGAAACTTGGCTCCACTTTCTTGATTATTGAATGCCCAGAATTTCAAAAGGTCAAAAATACCACCATTTTCAGGGCTCACAATCAAGAACCTGGAATTGAAAGAAATGGGACTCTCATTTTCAGTCGCCATTGGGACTCGAATTATTGAACCCAGTTTTATTTTTGAAGAAATATTAGTGGGTTTTTGGCTAAATAAGAGGACTAAATTTATAGATGTGGATAAAGTTAAGGTCCCGTGTGAGAAGTTATGATATAAAATCTGCAGAGTAACGGAATGCTTTGAGAGTAGTGAGCAGAGCATGGGGTTACATTCGTCAGTATCAGGCGCCATGGCTTTTGAAAATTTTTCACAGGTGGTTTAATTGCTTATCCAAATCACTATCACTACTACTACAAAAGAGAGTATGAATCATGCACTGTTCATTTTTGCACATTTCATTTCACACTTAACCGATTTCGTTCTGATTTTTCTATAATGAGATAGTCACAATTGTTGACTTCTCAATTTTATTAAACCAACTCGTAATAACACTCCTCCTTCACTTTCCCGATGTGAACTCTACAAATAACCCATCGAAACTCAGAATTCTCACGCACCACAAAGAGTTAGATAGTTCTCCTCATCGTCACTGTAAGTAAGTTCTTATATAATAAGTTAAGTTTGCTATAACAATAGTGGAGTAATTTCTCTTCTCTCGTTTACACCATCGATTGTTGATACCATTTTCTTATTTTGTTGGGGAAAAATAATCATCACTATAGCTCCTGAGTCAACGAGCGACGGTATTATAACCACCACAATTGTATGATTCTTTGGATCTTTTGATGTTTGAATTATTGTATGCGGTCGTATATTTTGTGTTGTATAGACGATTGAATGAACAAATATATGAGTGAATAATATATATGATATTTATGTCATTTTACTTATAATTATTCAAGTAAATAAAAAAATTGTGGTGCATCAAACACTTATTGTGGTGGTACCAATTTCAATATTAACATGGATAAATAAAATTTTATCGCCTCATTATTACAACTTATTTCTAATTTAACCAATAAAAATATTTAATTGTGAAACTTACTCTGAGCATTAGTAATTCGTAAATTGTATAATACTAAATAAAATAAATTATTTATCGATTATACCGTCTAATTCGATCCAATAATAAGTTCCAAATGCACTATAAAACAGTCGGTAGTATAATTCATGTGAATAATAGAGAAGTCCCCACCAATAACTTAAAAAAAAACTAAATAAAACATAACTTTTAAGCAGATTGCCTCGCCAAGATGCAACTGTGACCATCCCTATCAATATAGTAATTGCATATGTCCAAACTTTGTAGTGTCACTTGTTAGATTGTAATTCGATTCTCAGTTGGTGGTAGATTGAGATTGTATTAAAAATTGTTCAGTGTTGGATTGATTTGGTGGTGGGATTTTGTTGAATTTAGTTAGGTTTAGGGAAAGTGCGGTTAGAACGTTCACGAGCAAAGATTAATATTAAGTTTTTCTCCAACATGACATGGATTAATTGATTGCTCAATCGAACTTATCTAACTAAGTGATCATGGCTTGATCAATATATCTATGCGATAAGTTTTCCGCGTGACTTATCCTCTATAATAGTTTTTTCCCGAGACACGTTTACCAATTGTTTCTGGTACATGCATCTTATCCATAATTTTGTGCATCTAAATATATTGAACAATAATGCATCAAAATCATGGATGATGTGCTTATAACACATAAAGATGATCTTGTGATCGGATTTGACTGAATGTAGAAATTTCATGCCTCGACGTTATTGGCATTTCCCCTCATTGCTTAGGGGTTCAAATGACAACAACAAATAAGGGCAAGGCTCACAACAAAAATGTATTAGTGAACTTGCAAAACTATATACGAATTAATGTTTGCTTAGTTCAGAAGGTTGAAGAAGTCGATGATCATATTAAAAAAATAAAATTGAACCCTCTTCCCGATGAAGCTTTCCCATAATTTTGTCGGCAATGAAGTGTATTCTAAAAATAAATTAGGCCCTCTTGTCAAGTTTGGAAGTCAATGTGTACATACACACATATTGGCCTTGGTGGTACTCCACATCTCCCTCTTTAATTTATTTATTCTTTTTTTTTTAATCTTTTTTCGAATACATTGCCTTCTCTGATGTGACTGTCCTTTTCTTTGGTTGTTTATTAGAATAAATTTTTTTAATATATAATTTTAATTGTAAATGTCATCCTCGTCAAGATGTGCAAAACATATTTTTTTTAAATGGACTCAACCGAGAATAATATATTTATCATAAATTTATAATGCTCTTATTCCTAAATTTCAATAACTGCCAGACTGTTGCAAGAAAGTCATAAAATTCTTTGTTGAAAATTAGGCACTTATTTCAGCGTAACATCATATAGCCGACACCACCGACTGTTATCCAACGCGTTATGGAGTATTGCTTTTTTTTTTTTTACCATAGTTAATCACACAGAAAACATAAATTCTTTTATCGCATCCAATACATTTACGACAGGAAAATTATAGTCGCCATTTTTAATGTTTACTATTTTGCACTTCTATCCTCGATACGAGTCTCTTGGTGACGTTACTTCATATTTTTGGCATGCAAGATCCATGTTCACAAGAAGAGTTTGTTCAAGATGAGCTATCCATTTTTTGAAGAAAAATGTTAGAAGTACACAAAGGTGTACATAAGGGTGTCCATAATAGACATCCGGCGCCCTTCCATTGGATGGAATGTTGGTGGATCCGGCGCTCCCTCCAACGGAAGGGAGCCCTTATCTACATTCTTATGTACATGTAGCACATCTCTTTTTTGAACTCGTAAATTGGATTTGTTCCTGTTACTATAACAAAATGCAAAGATATATAACCTCTTTAGCTCGTGTTTGACACCCATTTTCCGGAAAGAATAAATTCTGAAATAGTAATTGATGAAAGAATATGTGGTTAAAAAATAAGGAAAACTTTTGGATTTGTGTAATATTATTTTATTGATAGAAAAATAAAAGAAATGAAGAAAGAAAACAATAAAAGATAAATAGAATGAGTGTCAAACAAGGGCTAAATACTACGACCTTTCTAATCTCGATGTTCTTAAATGCTGAATTTATGAACTATTAATTTTCCCTTCATCTTATTTTCTTCGATAGGTCCCTTGTATTTATAGTTTAGGTTTTTTTTTTATAAGAAACACATAATTCACCTAAATTTGGAGACATTTATGCATTAAAATGTATCACTAGGAAATTTTAAAAATATGTATAGGACATCGATGCGTCACATATCGACTTGGATAGGTCCTCAATTCGACCTCTTTCCAACTTAATTTGTAGTCACATGGGATCTACGAAAAGAAATTAAAAAACTCAGCGCATAAATCATACATTATTAATAAAACGTAACACGTATTTCTATTTTCTCAAAATTTTAGTCAAAAATCCAAAAAATTGCAAAAGAATTCCGGGATACCCAACCCAACAAATTTGAAACGTACAGAAAAATTAAAGAAGAAAAAGTGTAGTAAAAGAATGGAAAGGAAAACCAGTTCTTGCCCAACAGAGCCCAGTAAAATTATTAGCAAGGTCATGCGTTGATCAAGTAAAAAAAAATTTGTTCAAAACGGTCAAAATATTGTTCGAGTCAAAAAGTGAGGTTTTTTAAATCTGAATTCCGTGATCTCTCCAGATTTTCCTGTGACGCCATTATTAAACTTATTTTATCAAATAGCTTCTAAATTTACTACTATTTTTTTTTTTTACTCTACGACCCTGGTGGTGAAACTTGAGAGAGCGAAGAACTGTACCCCAAACTTTCCTATCAAAATGATGGCAACGCGTTAATTGATTAAAATATTTTATCTGAAGAAAAGATTTAGCCATTAAAAGTAAGAGACACACGTATCACTGTTACTTGATTAATAATGTATAAAATATTACTTACAGAATACATATAGACACACAGGTGGAAATACATATAGACACACACAGATTGACAAGAGAATTCTGTGGCTTTGGATTCTTCTAGCAGATCGTGCCTGCCAGCTTTTGGTAGAATGGGTAATACAGAAAGTGCGAGGACTGTTTGAGGTAGAAAAATAGCGTTAGAAAGAAATTCTTGGAAAGAAGAAAAAGGGCTGTCCGTTTGATAATAGAGCCTTTCTGTTCCCAAACTGGAATTGGGTTTTCTGGATTCGAGAGAGAGAGATGACAGAGGAGGCACCGGCGGCGGCGGCGCTGCTAATTTGCATTCTGGTGTTTGGGCTGAGCTCGACCAATGCAGACACAGATCCAAACGATGGTCAGCATTTTGAGCTTTCTTTTTTCATACAATTTTTACTATAAATAATAAAAGTATATGCTTTTCTTAACATTGATGCAACATATTTGCATTTTTGTAGTGTTATGTGTGAGCAAATATATTTTTTTCTCTTTTACCTTCCTCTTTTTTGTGGGAGTAAAGGGATTTACGAGAGCGAGTATTGGCAGTGTACACTTTGATTGTTGAGTTTCTGGGTAGCACATAATTAGATGAATTTATAAAGAATATTGAGTGGGGTAGGAAATTAGAAAGTCGAGTTTGCTTCTTTTTTTTTCTTAAGATTTGGGGGGTTAATATTTTGTTGAGTTTATTTGTTCTTTAATCTTGTAATCTTGTGGAACGTTCATTTTTATTATTCGGATTTATTTTATTCATAGTTTCTTGACTGATCTTTCTGCAGTTTGCTATATGAGTACTAACAATTCATATCCGTGCTTAAGTTGAGAGGAACAAAACTTTGACCTGCTTGAGCATATGCATAGTCTTTATCATGCATTGGTGTATAGATTTGTTATCATATCTCTAATAAATGTTGATGAATTGAGCTGTAATCTTGACGGTGACAATTTGGATGTACAGCCTCTGCTCTCAGGGTCATGTATGGTGCTTTGAATTCTCCACAGAAACTTACAAAATGGAGTGGGACTACGGGGGATCCTTGTGGAGAATCTTGGATGGGCATTACGTGCTCGGGCTCCAAAGTCACAGAAATGTGATTTCACTTGAAACCCTAATAGCATGTTGCATAGGGATTGTTGGATAGTACTGGACTGCACTAGTAAAGAACCTAAAATTATGTTCATTATTAATGTCCAGTCCTATCTAATATTGTGTACCAAATATGCACATACTTTTCTCCTTATACTATTATCTTTTCTCAAATTGGCTAGTTTCTGACTTGTTAACTTTTGCACGTATTTTTCTGTTCTTCAGAAACATATCAGGACTTGGGCTCACTGGTAACATGGGATACCAGCTAACAAGTTTGACATCCTTAACAAATTTGTAAGATGAAGGGCTCATTGCAAATTGTTATTTTGCATTTTTTTTTTTTGTAATACTTTTGTATTCTGATTCAATGGCATATTGCAGTGATATAAGCTATAATAATCTCGGAAACCAGATTCCTTATAATCTTCCTCCAAATCTGCAGCGACTGTATGTCATGTCCTTACATCTTGTTATTCTATTCTCTCTGTTTACTGTCACGATCTTATCTAACATTTTTCTCAAATGCAGAAATCTTGCTGGCAATGGCTTCAATGGTGGCCTCCCCTACTCAATTTCGCAGATGCCTTCCCTAAAAGACCTGTTAGTAACACCTTAATCCCGACCATGCCATTTAAAAGTAAAATAAATCGGGATCCTATTTCTGATTGAATAAAATGCTTCTTTCCACTGCAGAAACGTCAGTCACAATCAAATTCAGGGCCAACTGAATGACATGTTTGGATCACTGTCCGCTCTCTCCACATTGTAAGCCTGCCTTCTTGTCCTCTTGATAATTTCATTTTGATTTTTAGCATGTTTTCGGATGGCCAAATCACAGCATTGTTTCATTAACCCTGTCTTGACTTGGGATACAAAATACAAGATTGTTAGTTTTCTTTAATTTTGTTAAAAAGCAGTGACTAATTGTATTCATGCTTCAGGGATTTCTCTTTTAATGCTATGACGGGTGATCTTCCTCTGACTTTTCACTCGCTTACTAGCATGACTGATATGTAAGTTAACATGTTCGTGCTAATGTTTATCCTTATATTGATCCTTCCTTATTGACCAGCTTATCATTATGAAGGTATTTGCAAAACAATCAGTTTACGGGTACCATCGATGTTCTTGCAAATCTTCCCCTGGAAAATCTGTGAGTTCAATTGCAAATATACATACTTATATACATATAAAAACTATCTCTGTGAAATAGTACCATGAGAAACAATCAATTTGGCTATTGAATTGATGCATCTTCAATATCTTTCAGGAATGTTGAAAATAACCGTTTTAGTGGATGGATTCCACAGCAGTTGAAAAGCATAAATCTAATGTAAGCATCTCAATGCTCAACTCAATGTGTATTTTGGTTTTCTATGCGGATAAATTTTCATTCAAGTCCTACATTTTACATCACAGAACGGATGGTAATTCATGGAGCTCAGGGGCTGCACCCCCACCTCCACCTGGGACGCCTCCTGCTAGCCGGCCTAACCGAAATCACAAATCTGGAGGAAATAGTGGCTCATCCGAAGGTGGAGGAGGTGGAAGTAAATCTGGCATAGGTGCTGGTGGTGTGGCAGGAATTGTCATATCTATTTTGGTTGTTGGAGCAATAGCAGCATTCTTCATTATAAAGAGACGATCCAGAAAGCCATCCATGGATATTGAGAAGCCTGAAAATCAGCCTTTTGCTCCTCTTGCTTTGCAAGAAGTGCAAGGTGCGTGTCCTTTATATTTGTACATAAATATTTAGTGAATTAATATCTGAACCCGTTATGAGTCATTTAATTACTTTCTTCACTAGAATCGGACTGTTTAACAGATAAGAGAAATGTTAGTATGGCTTGTTTGGCTAGGTGGATTATACAACATCAGACAATCTTATAAAGGAAACAGAAGCTAAATTATTGTCCACTATACTGTCTAGTCTTGAAATATACAGGGTACTAGACTGCTTGTAATGTTTCTCCTTCGCAAGGCAGTTGCTGCTTTATTACTTAGGCGTGGTCTCACTATTGTAAATTTGAACCTTAAATTTCAACAATACCAGTTTACAAGATCTGGTAGCATCATAACTGTGTATAAAGATTGATCAACTCATTATTACTTTTTCAATTAAATTGGACGTCTACCTTTCATGTTGTCTGCAACATTTTCTATTGTGCAGAGATGAAGTCCATTCAAAGTTTATCCACAGCCAGCTCAAAAACCTTTGAAGCTCCTGCCACGATAAGCCTCAAGCCTCCTCCTATTGATCGTCATAAATCATTTGATGAGGATGATGTTTCAACGAAGCCCATAGTTCCCCCCAAGAAAATCAATACAGTCCCAATAAATGCTAGATCATATTCAGTAGCAGATCTGCAGATAGCTACAGATAGCTTCAGTATCGAAAACCTTATTGGTGAAGGATCTATTGGACGTGTTTATCGTGCTCAATGTGATGACGGAAAGGTGATCTTTTTTATCTCAGGAATCACATATAGTTCAATTCTTGAAATGTAGTATTGCATGGACACTTTATATTTGATGTTTAAAGTAGGTTCATATATAAGTTAGAAGTTCTATGCTTCCACTGTTAAAAAGTTTCTTAAAAAAATGAGTTGAAATAACATTTTTTCATTATAAAATTGTAATTGTACACTATATATGTTCCGTTTAGGGATTTTCTACTATTGAATTTACCACTTTAAACATTCCATCGATGCAGGTTCTTGCTGTGAAGAAAATAAATTCTTCTACTTTGCTTAATCATGAGGACTTTTTGGACATCGTGTCAGAGATTTCCCGGTTGAATCACCCAAATGTAACCGAGTTGGTGGGCTATTGTTCTGAGCATGGACAACTCTTGCTGGTTTACGAGTTCCATAAAAATGGTTCTCTGCATGAGTTCCTTCATCTCTCAGATGAAGATGGCAAGCCCTTAACATGGAATACCCGTGTCAAGATTGCGTTAGGGACGGCACGTGCACTAGAGTAAGTTTGCATTGAAGATTATGGAAATTGTTGACAGAATTCCATGCGGTAGCACAAATTTTGCCGCTGTGCAAATGGAAACCACAAAAAATCCTTTTCCTAGAGCATGCTTGATCAAGCTTAAAAGGTTTACGTATATAAGTATTTTTAAAAATTAATAATTTTTTCACTTGTTAAAATTGAAAAATATATACAATCAGAAAAAATAAGTGACTTGTTTGCATTAAAGTAAGAAAAAATTAACTTATCTGAACATGTTTCGAAACAAAATGTTACTCAAAAATAACTTTTGCTTATTTTTAAACTTAGCCTGAAATGCTGGTTAATGTATTTTATTCCCTGTTTAACTTCAGCGTACAAGTGGCCTGTTGTTCAAGTAAATTTTATTTGTAGGTACCTACATGAAGTTTGTTCACCATCTGTTATTCACAAGAATTTCAAATCAGCTAACATTTTACTTGATATGGAGCTCAATCCTCATCTTTCAGATTGTGGTTTAGCGAGCCTCGTCCATGAACCAGATCAGGTATGTCTCAAAGCTCTTTTATATCTTTCCCGAGCAATTTCGGAAGATTAGTGATCTCCAAGCGACTGTCTCCCTTTTCAAGGAGAACAGGGAAAATTAAAGTGTGTCAGCACTATTTCATTCTCCAAGACGGAATTATTCTGGCAAATTTACAGTTACATCATATTGTTTGAAGATGATCCGATTAGCTTTCTTAGGAATGAGGGTTGCTGCCTTCTCTTCCCGTATTAGTGCGTTTATTCAGCTATTAAGACTAAGAGGATGTTCGGCTATGCCTAAAAATGTAAAGTTTTTAATTCAAATTTTTTTACTTTGTCAAAAGGTGTCTTTACTTACTTTCCATAACAAGCAATTTTACTGTTTTTCAAGGTTTGGAGCGTGTTTGGCTGAGCCTAGAAAACAAGTAAAAGTACTTGTAAAAACTTACTTTTGAAAATGTAATTTTTGAACAGAAAGTTGCTCTTTTATTTATTTATTTATTTATTTTTATTTTCTTTTGGCAAACACGTTTGAGGAAAAAAAAAAGTTACTTTTAATTAAGCTTTAGATGTGTGCATATGAGAGGAGTAATGGCCGAACGAAATGTAATGATAATAAATGGATAGTAGTTGAGAATGTATGGTTAAAATTAAAGTTTGACCGAAAATTATGAGTAACTTGTAAATTCCCAAACATTTTGGCCAAGCCTAAAAGTTATTTTTAGTAAATGTACAAGTTTGCATGATATTTCCGTTTTTGGTTTTGAAACTTTTGCAGGCATCTGGCTACAGTGCACCCGAGGTCACTATGTCTGGTCAATATACCATGAAGAGTGATGTATATAGTTTTGGAGTGGTCATGTTGGAGCTTCTTAGCGGACGTAAACCATTTGATAGGTATGTTTAATCTCTTTGGAGCAGAACAGAATTGTATGTAGTCTATCATCTTATAATTAATATTTCATAAATTAGTGCTCCCAAAGAATTAACAAAATTATAAGGAACAAATTCCATCCATGTCTTAAAGAGTCGATATTTCATATACCCAGTAATTGATACTCTTTTGAAATAAAATCTCATGCAATATTAATCATGAGAGGAAATTGTACTAAGGTTCCATAGATGTCGGATACAATGTATATTCACCGTTGATTCAATAAACTATAGGAGTATGTTTGATAGGCAATATTAAACAGTACAATTGACAAGATTTTAGCTTGTTTTTCTTCCTTAATATTGTGCACTATTGTCTAACGTTTGACAAGTTAAATGCATAAATGTCACAATTAGGAGTTCTTGTTACTTCGTAGATTATGGTAGGGCTAAAAGACATGTCTCGTGAAATGCATGGTCCTTTTTTGAGGATATACAATGACCAAGAACACAATTCAAACTAAATGATTGTATTTTTTGTTTTTTGTTTATGAACTAATTTTTGACATTGCTTATAAATTTCCTCTGTACCATTACCATATATAAATGTAAAAAGATAATTTGATCTACAAAATTACTACTGTGTAATTTTATAATTAATCACTTTGATAATTCTCATCTCGGCGTAATTAATTACAATGACAATAAGAGCTGGAATGCTGGATGTACACGTATAGCAATATCATTGGTGTTTTTTCTGATACAGCTCGAGGCCAAGAACCGAGCAATCTTTAGTTCGATGGGCTACACCTCAACTCCATGACATTGATGCTCTGTCTAAGATGGTTGATCCGGCACTGAAAGGCCTCTATCCTGTCAAATCTCTCTCTCGATTTGCTGATGTCATTGCTCTCTGTGTCCAGGTACGCATTTAATTGGAAATCAACTGAATTTCACAATTCTTTAACAACCGAAGTAATTCCCTCCTTTGAATAGAACTACCTGCACACCGCTCCTTTGATTGGCTAACCCAAAAGATCTTTTTTTAAGATGGGGGGCTTAAAAGGGCTCCTCGAGGCAAACTCTGAATACTAAATATGACCTAGCGACTTCTGTCTTCAAGATATGCCTTTCCTATTTAATAATATAATTTGATCATATTCTTTCTGTAATCAATTGTTGTGGCAGCCTGAGCCCGAGTTCAGGCCACCTATGTCTGAAGTGGTCCAAGCTTTGGTTCGTCTAGTGCAACGAGCAAACATGAGCAAGAGAACATTTGGAAATGAAGGCCCGTCTCGAAGTGACAGTCAAGATGGTCAAGACTACACTCCTTAGACCCCCCCTTGAGCAAAAGCAGGAGTGTCGATACTTCATTCTTTGCTTTTCGTGGGATCTTGTTCGCCTTGTATAATAGTGAGAGTAGATGGTAAAATTTGTCCATACCAAAGAATTCGTTTCTTCACCTTCATTTCAATGTATTCAAAGTTCAACCATTGCAGATAACTGGTTTGTCTTTCTGAAACACAAGTCTCTTTTATTACCTGTCAATTTTAACTTATTGCAAGAATATGAAATGTATAAATACTGAAAATGCTGAGAAGCAATTGTCCTTTTTTCTCTGGTTGGAGCAAATTACTACAAATCCATCCCCATTTACTGATGTTTTTCACAAATTTTATGAACAGAAGCAATCCCTTTTGTTCGAGATTTAAGTCCTTGCATTACCTTTTAGTTCTGCAAATAAATCGGGCCATAAGCGACGGAGATTTAAACATAGGAGGGTGGGGTGTGGTTCAATATTTTATTCACATGGGGCCCACCCCATGTGAGTTTTCTGGCCAATTTCTGTGGAATATAATTCTGTACAAACAGAATTGTTCTAAACATAATTAACTAAATAATAATCAATGAATACACTGACCGACCTAAACAATGAAAAAAAGAAAAAGAAAACGTTGCTTATTACATTATAGCTCAACAGGTCGATTGGTAGTTTGCTAATCCGTCCTTCATTATCAATTTAGGTAATTTTTTTCTTTTGGTGATAATTTATTTTATACAATCCTCGTTAGCACAGAAGATGCTTCAAGTACTTTTCTTAATTATATTCTCTTGTGATCATCAGCTCAACAAGCTGCTGAATTCAATGGACATACGAGGAAAATGCTGAAACTGGAATCAAATTGTCAAAAAGTTCCAAGAATGTCTAAGCAAATTTTCTCAAAAGAATAAAAAAAGGGACCAAACTAATACTAACCAGTTCATTTTCATATTCTTTGAATCCAAAATGGATAAAAAAAAAAAAAAATTCCGTCGATTCGGAACTTGTCTAGTCGAAAACAAACTAAAAAGTACAACTCCAAGTGGGTAAGATGTAATCATCCTTTTGTGAGGACATCTCAATGCTAATAATGAAAACCTTCTACGCATCGACTCAAAAGCAAAGAATGAACCCACATTCCTCAAGTTGCATCTTACACCAAAACAATACTGATGTCTCGACACAACACAACAATCAATTATAGACCATATACTTCGGTGTTGCACTAAATTTCTGATACCCTTTAATAACTTTATTCACAGCATCTAGAAAATCTTTCTCCGTGAGAGTCTTCCTTCTTGCTCGAATAGCATACATTCCAGCCTCTGTGCACACACTTCTTATGTCGGCTCCTGAATAAAACATTCCACATCAAGCAATCATAGGTAACATTTCCAAACCAAAAGTGCGACAAGTTCCAAAGGTGCAATAGCATACTATGCCTATGCATAATTCATGCTTTGATCAATTGTAATTATTTATTCTTCAGGAAATGCATAATATACTGGATGCTCGGCAGTCAAATCAACAGCATAAGCAATTTACTTTTCTGAAGCACAGAGTGTAGAAATTTGAAGCAGAACTAAAATAATAAATCTTTAATATTGCAAGGAGAACGAGATAAATTTGTACCAGTAGAATTTGGGCAGAGCCGAGACAGAAGTTCAAACCGAATGTCCCTTTCACAATTCATAGTTCTTGTATGTATCTTAAATATCTGCGTCCTACTTTCGAGATCCGGCAGTCCAAACTCAACCTTACGATCTAGCCGTCCAGGACGCAACAGGGCTGGGTCCAGCGTATCGGGTCTGAATAATATAAATAACCGGTACTCAAGCACACAGATCATAATAAGTGACTTTCAAGTAAAATCTTCTGTAACACCAAGCTAGAAATACAAATATTAATTCTCAACATCAAGATCAACTCCAGGGAGAACATTACGAGACCATCTAAAAAAACCAATTACAAGTTAACTAATAGTGAAAATAGACCCCGACCTCAAAGCAGAAATTTAAGAAAACAACATTATTTTACAGGCAGGCAATAAAAACATTTCTCAAACTTGAGTCAGCTGTGTCCTAACAACCATGAAGAGCACGTAATGACTATATGCAAAACGAAAATTTAAAACCACATAAAAAGAAGTCAAACAGTGCATTTTTATGTTAATCACATAACCCAACAAAATAATTGAATAAGACCAATAGTCACAATAAAAAGGCCAAAATTGAATAAACCATGTCACTCTTCCAATTATCGAAATGAAAAATAAATTAAAAGAATGGATGACGGAGACAGTCCAACTAAACCTATTTGTTGCCATTAGAACTTTAATATTCCCACGAGCATCAAAGCCATCCAGCTGGTTCACAATTTCAAGCATGGTGCGTTGAACCTCATTGTCTCCACCCACACCATCATCAAATCGTGCACCTCCAATGGCATCCACTTCATCAAAGAACACAATACAAGCTTTTTTGGAGCGTGCCATCTGCCACCATAATAAAAAAATCAGACATGAAATATCAGAGAAGTACAAGTACATAAATTATAGTGACATGAAGAAGATTTGACCTGAAATAGTTCACGAACCATCCGTGCTCCCTCGCCAACATATTTCTGAACAAGTTCACTTCCAATAACACGAATAAAACATGCATCAGTTCGATTAGCCACAGCTCTAGCCAGAAGAGTTTTACCGGTACCGGGAGGACCATAACAAAGAACGCCCTTCGGAGGATCGATCCCAAGCTACACAAATTTTTCAGGGTGAAGCATGGGTAGCTCAACAACCTACCACAATCCAACATATGCAAATTCAATTTATAGCCCTTCTATCATGTTTATTTGAAGGAACAAACAATAGATGGGCGATAAGAGTACATGAGAGGAATGGGAAAGATTGCAGCAAGACAGATGAGAAAATATGTACTGATATATGTGAAGATATCTATATATATAGCATACCTCTCTCATTTTTTCAATCTGCTCCTTACATCCTCCAACATCGTTATATGTGACATCTGGCTTTTCCTCTACTGTCATCATTGTAACACTTGGATCAATTTTTGGAGGCAAGGGAATCTGAATTTGATATTTATTCCGGTCAACACTGTAATAGAAGTAGCTTGTCAAACTATATATCGTAACAACAAATTGAATCACATATCAAATATAAGAAAACTCAAACTTTTGAATTCCTTTTATATCCTGGACAACAAAAGATATGTCTACCAAGGCATAAAATTAAACTTTCCTCAAATTGAATTTGTGCAACTTATGGTCAGTAACAAATGTGAAGTTTTAAGCTCCTAAAAATAACATAGGAATGCTTAGTGTAACCAGACCGAGGAAACACCTACCCAACTCGCATTCCTTCTTCAATATCAGTTGGTGAAACTTTATCACCCAATCCAACAACAAACTGCAAAGATGAATGTGAACTAAAATCAACAAGACATTCATAAACAAGACAAATATGTGCGTGTTCAAATAGGCACTTCCTTCCAAATCACACATCATAGCATAAAAAATTATCTCTGGCTAAGGCTGGTCATCTGGAGGGGATACTATATTAGAAGCACCCTTCCGTGCTTTGGTTCTTATGCTATGTAAAGAAACTCAATATTGTAAACAACACCATAGGAAAGAGCTACACGCTAAAAGGATAAATTAAAAAATTATCATACCTTGGCAATTTGCTTAACATTTATGACATACTTGGCATCTTCAGTATTTGGGCTGATAATCTTTGTGCATCTGGCAACCTGGTCACATAAGCCCCAGTTATAGCCCACAAGAGATATAAGATAAAAAGGATAAAGAACCTAAATTCAGTCATTTCTAAGAACATTACCTGAAGAGGCTGCTCCTCCTGCATCATTTGTTTATCGGAGACAAGATCCCACTGGCTAGGTGCAGCTAAACCAGTATCAGATTCCTTGATACCTAATATGCAACGAAAATCAACAATATGGCATCACAACATATAGAATGAATAAAAGATAACCCATTTCATCCATGAATTTATAACTATGTAAAAAATATAACATGAAGACTCTTTTAGCCTTCCTTTTAGGTAATATAGCATAACAAAGGCTCTTAAAAGCACAAATAACTATTACTATAACATCATGCTAAGAACTCCTGCATATCTATTCATACCATAAACGCATCATGAATCATTTCCCTAGAAATGGCAATGACGATGCACAACATTTATCGTGCTAGACCAAATCAACAGTGAGCAAGTTACAAAATTAACAATATAATGAGCTACAGACTACATACAACACAATGCCCATAACATTTTTAACCAAGGAGCATCCTTTACGTCAATGTAAAGAGGAGGAAAAAAATGGGGCCAGAAAACATACCACATAAATCGTTAATCTTCTTGGCCATTTCCTTGATTTCATTCTCAACTTTCTTTATACTAGTAGAGTAAGGTCCCAAGCCCTACATACATCATTCCAAGAACTTCAACAAAAGAATGGGAGATAAGGGCTTTATATTTAAAACCCAGTCTCATTCAATTAAGAATAATATTCTCAAATCGGCACTATTTATTCATTAAACTAAATGAAAACCTGTACAAATGCAGACAAAAATCTGAAAATTTAAAATAAATAATAGAGCAAAATTTGTTAATAATGTCAACCCTGAGTACTAATACCATTATGCCACATTTCTGTTCACTAAAAATATAATTTCCACTTATTTTTTCAAATCCAAGATCCTGATTAGCAAACAAATGAAAACGCCAGATACAACCTCAGTTCATCCAATTGTCAATACTATGGTGGACTATTCTTAAACTGGCACTATACCTGCGAAAGTTTCAGCTAAAATAAGTAGATAAATAAAAAAGGAGCAAAATTTTACCAAAAAAAAAAAAACGTTTTGTTCAGTGAAATAAATATTAAATGATACTTTCCATTTCATTTTCCAAGCCCGAGATCCTGATTTCTAAACTAACGCAAAACCCAGCTAAAACCCTCAGTTCATTTACAACGTTCAATACTCACGTCATTATTTCGATTCGTCGACAAGTGAAATACACAACTATAATACAAGGATGAAAAAGTAGCTCAAAATTAGGGTTAAAGACAGAGTACGTAGGTTTTGAGAAGGGCAATGTCGTCCTCATCGAGAGGCCTAGGGTTCTTCTCGTCCTTGATCTCATCTTCGGGTTCGGGTGCCATTATTGAAGAATTTGATTTGATATTCTTCTGCTTGGTTTTGGCTGTTGGGGAAACTTTGCTTGATAAACTATCCCTCGAATCTATCGGTTAGTATTCATTTTGAAGCATTTTAGCCGCCGTTTGGCACCCATTAATTTCTCATTCTCATTTTCATTCTCATTCTCATTCTTCATTTCAACCACACATTCTCCAAATAAAATAATATTACACACAAATCAAAAACTTTTCATCACTTTTTCACCACACATTCTCACATCAATCACTATTCTAAAATTTTTATTCTC